GGAGGTCATCTAGTCCAACCCCCTGCTCAGGCAGGAAACCCTATACCATTTCAGACAAATGGCTGTCCAGTCTCTTCTTAAAAACTTCCAGTGTTGGAGCATTCACCGCTTCTGGAGGCAGGTTGTTCCACTGGTTAATTGTTCTCACTGTCAGGAAGTTTCTCCTTAGTTCTAGGTTGCTTCTCTCCTTGATTAGTTTTCATGGAGAGACTCTACAGGGTGGCTGGTGGTCAAAAACAACTGGGTGGCATTGAATAATATACAGAAAGTAAAGACTTGGGTTGGGAAGCTGGGTGCTTGAGATTCGACCTGCTCAAAGGAACAATAATCACAGAAACCTTACAGGAAAAAAAATGGGTAGGTCGGTTTGCCTTGGGCAGCAAAAAGGAGACGAAATTTGGGGCTTTCTCAAAAGGTTATGAGGAATGTCTACGAAGAGCTCTCCTGGATCAGCTGAAGATCCTTCTAATCTGGGATCTAGTTTGCAGCCCTAGTCTGCTTCCTTGACAAAATTCCTGAGCAGGATATGAAGGCGATGCAACCCTCCTAATTGCTTCTCCTACCTTAATTGAGAGGTATGGAGAGAATAAGATGCATCTTGAAGATATCCGTGATTAAATTCCCCCAGAAAGAGGCAAAGAACGATAAAGCGGAGAAAACATATAGAAATTGTTGTTGTTAGTTGCAAAGTCGTGTCCGACCCATCGCGACCCCATGGACAACATATAGAAATATGTCTATATAATGGAGGCACTTTCTTTAAAAGTATCAGCTGCACCAAGGTGGAAAGGAAATTGCTCCTTCTTAGCTTGTTTTTTTTTTTTTAACAGCCCGGGAATTCAGTGATGGCAAAACAGGATTTCCTCTTTCAGTTTCCTCTTTCATCGAATACAGTTATTGTACAGTGATTTGATTTCAAGGGTACCTTCCACTCAGTCTCTGCCTTTCTCTCTTCTTGAATGTCCTTCCTTATGGGAATTCCAAATTTCTTTTGAGGTTGAATTGATTTGGGATTATCACTTTAGTCCCATACATGAACCAATTTCCAGGGACTCCAAAATCCATTATGAAAGGCCATATTTGTTTTCACCTTCCCGCTTTTTCCTCTTCAAGGGCAGTGTTTTCTGATAGTATAGCCTTTTCTCTCCTTATCCTCTTGTTTGTCACTTTATAAGCTCTTCATAGTAGAATACTAGTGGCTTGCTTTGGGGGGTTCATGTGCTGTGGCTCACTTTTCTCCTGGCATGGTTTATAGATGACATTATGCTAATCCTTTTTCTTTTCTCCCTCCTCTTGGTTTTTCCACTATACAGAGAAGAGACAATAAAAGGGAAACACAAAACTCCTGTCGAAAGTTTTAAATTAAACACCTCTTTTTACAGAGTAGATAGACCAGGTGTGTTCTCAGTTCTAGATGGTAACAAGCCAGTAGATTCAAATTTTTTAAAAATTTTGTAGTTTGTGAAGATGGTGAGGATTTTTTTATATATACAGTAGTTTTTTAAATGGAAGCTGGAAGCCGGCCTTGTAGAGATGTTAGAGCCAGTTTGGCATGGTGATTAAGCTGCTGGCCTAGAAACCAAGAGTCTGAATTGTAGTCCCGCCTTAGGCATGGAAGCTGGCTGGGTGACTCTGGGGCTAGCCACTCTCTCTTAGCCCAACCCACCTCACAGTGTTGTTGTTGTTGTTGTGGGGAAACGAAGAGGCATCAGGAAGAGCTATTAAGTATGTACATTGCCTAGATGGATGAATAAATAGAATAAAAGTATAATAACGTTGCAGCTTCAAATCTGCAGTAGTAAGTTACAGTATCTGCATTAGCAAAGATGGAGTTTGATGACTTGAAAAACTTCCAACTCTGTGATTGTTAATGGTTCCTGCACTGCATGTTTCCTATTATTTCTGGAGTTAAAGGGGGGGGGGAGAATAATGCGTCTACACCCTGTTTTTTTTGACCATCGTCCCAAAGATGAAAAGTGGTTTCACCAAGTTTTTTGCTTCAAGAATTCTTTGACAGTTATTCCCTTTTCAACTGTACTTGACCCCTTAATGGGTAGTTATATATCTTCTGATTCTACGTCACACGTACTTCTCCCATCTCATGTAAGTGAGCTGTGCAGTCTATTCTTTAATAGCTTTTTAGGGGTCTTCGCTATTTATTTGGATTATTTAATGTCACGTTAAGTAGCTTGCCAGGAAAAAATTACACAATCGCTTACAAAGTGTGTTAGTCCAATTAATGTGTGAGGAGGCCTAGACTAGATAACATCTTTGCCTTGCAGGTATAAAACTCTTTGGTCCTCTGGAGTTAATTGTGTTATCAATTTAATAGTTCTGTTGGGTTGGGTAAGCAAATTCCTGTGGTGTCTTGCACTGAATATTACTGTTGCTGTATAGCTTGGTTTTATGTCCTGATATAAATCCTGATTTCTTCCTGATAATAATTCCTGGAATCATGATTCCTTGGAATTGCTGTCAGAATGGAGAAATGAACTGCCGTTCAAGTGCATGTTTTTGCCTATTCAATTGACACAGAATTGCATGTATTCTTCCATAATTTCTGGCTTTTAAAAATAGTTTTTTACCCAACAATATCCATACATTCTCACCAATGCTCTATTTATTTATTAAGTATTAATATACCAAGATAGGGGCTATGGCGAGGTCAGGAAATAATTCGACTGCCAAGTATTTTACTTTTCAGAACCTTCTAAGTCGCTTTAAACACAAAATATTGCAATATCTTTTGGTAGATATTTTTTTTTTCATTTCTTGATATTGTCTACTATATTTCAGCTCTAGGCACTGTTTTCTGACACTTTCTGATGAACCATCTGCAATTTCAATTTATTCCTTTCTTGCACTTAAATCAATGTATATTTTTTTTTGACAAATTACTTGTATAGGATGCCCAATTTTGTTGGAAAAGCATGGATTTGAATGTCTTGCTTTGGTCATATCACAAATCTTCGATGCCTCTTTACAAATGCTGTTTTAAAAACATGCTTCAGATTTTATGGGATGTTTGCTTTGTTTATATGAGATAGGGGAATTTGCGCCAAGTCTGAAATGACTGAAAACATTCCCTTTTATTGCTCTTCAGACCATTTAACAATATAGTATAAAGTTTTAATACATCTATGGCTTTTTTTATTGAGACAACAGATTTGTAAAGGGTTTGATTGGCTTTTGGCGTGGTGATTAGTAGAATGAAGTTTTTTCTTTGCACTAAGAAAGCTAAGTCCAGAAATATGATTTTTTAAAAATTGTACTTTAAACTGTAAAATACAGATTGCATATGAGAATACTTTCTTTCAAGTGAAGAAATTGGCATGTTAAGGGGAAGTTAATTGTCTCTGATGTAGCTAGCAGTTTTCAGAAGAAATAAAGGAATGACAGAGGTTATGGGATGAGTAAGGCAGATTACCAGAATTCTTGTTAATTGTAGTAAAAATAAGAAGTTGTCTCATACAAAATTAAGCCATTGGGATATCTGAGAGTGGCTGCAAATAAACTTGCACCAAGAATCAATAAGTAATATAAATAAAAACTTGAAATTATAATATTGAAACATAGAATAATAGGTTGGACGGGAGATCTTGGAAATTCTAGTCTAGTCCAATCCCTGCTCAAGCAGGAGACCTTATAGCTGTTTATTTTCTGTTTTACTTTATGACTAATTTACTGTATTAAAGTTGTACATTAACTGTATACGCGCGCGCACACACACAGAGAGAAATATATGCAAAACATGCACATAATGCATTTGAACTTCCTGTGTTGTAAACTATATCAAAAACAAAAATCTCATTGCTATCGTTACTAATATAATAATTTAGGAATGAATATTTTACAAATGAGTTCACTTCCTTTCAGAACTGTTATACAAGCCTGAAAAGAGTCTTGTAAAAATGGATGTGAGCCTGCCATTTAGCATTTAATGTCTCAATTTCAATTACTGTATGTGGGAACTGCTGCAAAAGAACAAAGGGTTCCACCTTTCAAAATGCTATTTAAGTGCTGTTTAAATAAGTTGATTAATAAATGGCAGGACATCCTCTGCTCCCTAGAAATAATTGCAAATGGTGGCATAGCACTGCATTAAAATAAGCACAAAACTAGCTTCATAATTGAGGCACTTTGGATACCAGTCGAAATTCCCAGGTATAGGATTTCCTGCCTGAGCAGGGGGTTGGACTAGATGACCTCCAAGGTCCCTTCCAATATCATCATCATCATCATCATCATTATTATTATTATTATTATTATTATTATTATTATTATTATTATTATAAAATGTGGTGCTTTTAAAGTAGAGAATTTTAAAACGCAGCTTGTAATATAGACGTAGAATGATTTGGCAAGCCCTGTCAAAGTTTTATTTAGACAAAATCCCACGGAAAACAGGTAGTCCCCGACTTAACGGCCCCAATGGAGCCCAAAGTTTCTGTTGCTAAGCGAGACCGTTGTTAAGTGAGTTTTGCCCCATTTGACGACCTTTTGCCAAAGTTACTAAGTGAAGCCCTGCGGTTGTTAAATAACACCGTCGTTAAGTGAACCTGGCTTCCCCATTGACTTTGCTTGTCAGAAGGTGGCAAAAAAGGTGATCCCATGACTCCAGGACGCTGCAACCGTCATAAATATGAATCGGTTGCCAAGTGTCTGAATTTGGATCACCTGACCACGTGATGAACATAAAATTGATTTTCATTAATACGAAGATAAATTTTATGCACCTTGTTCTCCCCATGGATAAATAATGATGTAGATGCAGTTGAGGTGGCTTCTATCTAATAGATTTGTATGGAATAGCTTAAAAATAGTATAGCAGATGGCTTTTGTTTTAAGTAGGATACCTATGCTTTTGTTTCTTGTGTGAGTTGCTGCTGCCAGTAAAGTGATATACAATCTGCTTTTGTTTTGTAGGCTAATTTTGAATTGGACTTCATATTTGCTTAGATGGTCTGGAGTTTCCTGTTCTTAAGAATAAGTCTCATACTACACAGGTGGGTTTTGTATGCTTGGAATGCATTGTTTCTACAGTATTATGATATATTAACTAGCTGTTGTTTCTGCTGAAGGGACCAAGCCAAGCAAATCAGGAAGCAATGGAATATTTCCTCTCTGCCTCTTTCCTGTACTTGTTTATAGTCTTCTGGTTAAAATTTGGGCCAGGATACTATATCAAGTAGGATTACAAAATTAGAGAGTGTAATTCAGATTACACGTTTAAAGACAGACTTGATGTCCTAGTGCAGGGGTGTCAAACTGCCGGCCGGCGGGCCGGATGCGTCATGGTGAAACTGCACCCATCGCCGACAATGGAAAAAAAGTCACACTACGTCATGTCACGTCACGTGACGTTATTATTATTATTATTATTATTATTATTATTATTATTAATTTAATTTATATCCCGCCCTTCTCCTTGCGGACTCAGGGCGGCTTTGCGAGTTTGACACCCCTGTCCTAGTGAAACATCCGTTTTTCCATTTTTCCCCCCTCCACTGGATCAAGGTTTGAAATGAGACATAGTTTATTAGTCATAAAGTAAAACAGATAATCTACAGTACTATCAAACAGGTGCAGCCATTGTATAAAAAAACCTGAAGAGCATTGATAAAAATGTGGGTTGCTACTGTACAGTGCATAGTCATTGCCTGTGTGACTAATATCTCCAACAGAAAAAAGGAAGGTGATTCAACACATTCAATCCATTTCTGAGCCGCTCTAAATGGCCTTCCTTTTGTAAGGGATTACGTGCGTTTTATTTAGCACCTTTTTGTAATTGGAATGTGTGGATGAACTTTGGGGAATGAGGGGGAAGAGATGCTGTCTAGAAAACAGGTAAGAGAGACAGGAGCCCCCCGGTTGGCTTAACAGTCAGAGAAAGAAACTTAGGGAGGACGCACCCGAATGGATCCAGCAGTTAAAAAGTTTGTACTTTCAGACTTGCAAAATAGATTTGTCAACCCTCCCAGGTAAACCAGAGGGGAAATACAACTGGATGAACTAAATCTATTCTGTTCATAGAATTTTGTAAGTCCAACGGCACAAATTTCCTGCCAGCTCTTTTAACGGCTTGATCGGTTAGGGAGAGGGTCCTTCCTAAATTTCTTTGTCGGACCCATAAGCCACTGGGGGTTCCACCCTCTCTTGTCTGACTGTTTCCTAAGCAGCATCTCTTTCCCATGTTCCTTCAAGGTCATCTAACATACCCCATTGAACTTCTCCGCTGGGCTTATCTTACTACAATTAATTGAATTTGTCTTTGAGATAAGGCTTCTTTCCTTGGTGCATAGCTGAGCGACTGAAATGTAATAAGCAAATAAAAGATTTTCCAGTGGAGTAAATATTTTTCTCGGAATAAAAACTGCACAATTTTAATCTAGAATGAAATGGGTTCTGGGTAGTACTCTTAGATTGAAGAAGCTTTTGTCGTTTGAAAATGTGGCAGTAAAATAGATTCATTTATTTTTATCCCACCTGTATTATTTTTTTTATAAATAACTCCAGGTGGAGAACGTACCTGATACTCCTTCCTCTTCCTATTTTCCTCATAATAGCAGCCCTGTGAAGTGGGTGGGGCTGAGAGAGTGGCCTAAAGTCTCCCAGCCAGCTTTTTTATGTCTAAGGCAGAACTAGAACTCACAGTCTCCTGGGGATTGGCCCAAAGTCACCTAGCCAGATTTCACACCTGAGGTGGAACTTATGGTCTCCCAATTTCTTGCCTTCAAAATACCTTTGATATCAGATCGAGAGATTTCTTTCAGTTACGTGAATCAAATTTCCGATGCTGAACTGGACGAAGCTTCCTTGAGTGGAGTGGGCTTAGATGTGAAAGCTTTTTTTTTTTTTTAACTTGATACTTTAATAAAGGACTAGTGCACCTCGTAACATTTTGGTTGCCAAACATCTGTTTTCCAAACGTGTTTTTTTTCTTTTTCTTTTTCAGATAGCAAGATGAGTTCCTTAATAGAAACCCCTGAGCTGCCGGCGGTGTTTGATGGGGTTAAATTGGCTGCTGTCGCTGCTGTTCTTTACATTATTGTTCGTTGCCTGAATCTGAAGAGCCCAACTGCCCCTCCTGAGCTCATATACCAAGACACACCTTTAGCCCGCTTCCTAATCAAAACGTGCCCTCTCCTAACCAAAGAGTGAGTAGTCCAGCCGTATGTGGAATTATTTGGCTATTTTGATGTAGGGCAGTGGTTCTCAACCTGTGGGTCGGGACCCCATTTGGGGTCGATCGACCATTTCACGGGGGTCGCCAAGCAAGGCTGTCCGCCATTTTTTTTGTCCGCCATTTTTTCCCCCTTTTCCGGCGGGTGCCTTACCTCCCTTGGGCTGGGCCAGCTGGTGGTCGGCCTGCTCCGTCTCTGCCGCTTGCCAGCTACGCCTC